CATGCAGATGCTCGGTAACTCAATCTTCAGAACCGCTGTCCGTATGAATCAGAGCCAGCCCTGTGGGGTCTTGCTGGGAAGGCACATAAATATTTTGTCCCTTCCCCCAGTGTCACAGTTGGCCCCAGTTTGGGACTGGAAGTTAAATTTTACAGCCTTGACTGACTGTATGAATTTGCAGTTCTCTCTTGCATTTCAGCTGAACAATTTAACTTGAAAATAGGTGGTTTTGAACTGCATGGTGTTTATTAAGTAGTTTCCAAAAATGTATCATATGGTGAGGTGGTAGTTAAAGTGATTTTTTTTTTTTTTTTTGTGGTAATAGTTAAAATGATTTTTTTACAGGGAGGCTTAGTGTGTATTGAATAGTTGCTTGTTATTTGAAACTGTCCGCATAGCAAAACCATGAAAAATGGAGGTAACTACTGTGCATATAAAGATTTATTATGCATCTATGTTACAGTATGCTTACTTTATCAAAAATAGACCATTATGAAAACTGGCTTATGCACCTGCTCTTCATTAATTTTTGAAGTTAAATAACTGCGTGGTCTTTTTTACAAAATACCAGCGGTCACTTAGGGATTATTTGTAGCAAATACTTGCTGAATGTAGAGTTTAGTGCTAATGGTAAAATAATCCTCTCTGAGAATTATAGTTTGACTGCTGTTAAGAAGGAAAAAAGCAACCTCAGACCTTAATCAGTAGAAAACTGCTGCATCACTTTGTACAACTTTTAGGGCAGAATGTGGCGTAAATAAAGTTGTAGTATGAGTGTATTCCTAGAAATTGGCAAAAAGAAATATGATGGTATTTCAGAATAACAGATGAGTACCTCAAAACTTGGAAAAATATTCACTATATTTTGCCTTTTTTTTTTTTTTTTTCTAATGTTTGTGCTTGGAAGCAATAACTCTGATTGAAACTTTCTTTCACATGTAGTGTGTGAAATTACTCCATCGCTGTTGGAGCTTTCCTGAATGCTGGAAGCAGAAGAAAAATCCCAGCAACATAAAATCTAAAAATAGAGATTTCTCCCCAACTGTATTACAGTGATTTATGGGCAGAATTTTAATTCTCTTTTTAGGGGTACTAAAAGAAAATCTGGTTTAGAAAAAAGAAGTGGAGGTCAGACATTTTTCACTGACGTTAGAAGGAAGCAAATTGAACTGATTTCTGTTTTTAGAAGCAAATATTGATAATTCATTTTTCTGCAAATAGCAAATGACTTTGCAATTAACTTTCTGTGATTGGCCTTTGGTTATCAGCCAAGAAATGTGATTAGTCATAATTTACTAGTTCTTTAAAATGCCTCGTACAGATGTTAAAATCTGCGGGTGATCAAATAAGTGGGTATTGCTTAATGATACTCTGTTGTTTTTATAGCACGCTGCTTTGCTATACATACACTGGCATATACTTCTGTGGCTTCCCCACACTCAAAACTTCTTGATTGAAAACAAAGCACAAAAAACCCACCACCTCAGTTCCGTTGTGCGTGGAGAAGTGCTGTGGCAGGGAAGGGTCATTGCTTTAGTAATCGCATACAGCACTTCAGCACTAATGATTTCTGACAGAGACAAATCCTGCACATTGCAGGATGTGGAAAGGATTTTCATGTTGTTTTAAATGTGAAGTGGAGAAAGAGGGTTGGCTTTAGGATTCAGGAATACTATTATTAAAAACTTGCTAGCTTCTGAGTTTAACATCATTGAGTGGGGGGGAAAAAAACCCAGCATCCTGAACTGTGAGGAAGAGGCTGATAAGGAAGAGTTCAAATTATTTCCTTCGTGATTTGATTTTGTTGAACTGTTTCGGAGCTTTCACCCAAGCGTGCTGTAGGATGTACTTTCTGAGGTATAATGTGAACAAAACCAGAGTGAATTTCAGTGCATCTTTATGGGATTTGCTTTTTTTCTGCAGTTGGGTAACTTTTTAAAGTCAATGTAAGTAGATGAGGGGATATATTTGTTTCTAATGTGGTTGACACCCTTGCATCTGTGGGATGCTTGGTACCAGTATTGCTTACGCTTGTGGCAGTAAAATACCTTGCTGGTTGGTGGTGTCTGTAACTTTGTAATTATCCATACTCTCCTCTTTGTTCTAAGTGTGACATTTTCTGATCTAAAATACCTTAAAGTTTTAGAAGTGAATGAAGTTTATTTCAGAAATGTTTAAAGCTTGTTTATGGTGGGAAATATAAATTTGCTCTCAGTGTGCATAGCATTACCAGACTTCTGTGGTTTAAGCTAATATATTCTGCTGGTTATCTGCCTCATTTGGAATTGTTTTGCTTGGAACTGTCCCAAGACTTCCATTCTGAGACTGAAGTGCTTTCATTCTAAGGGTGAAACGGTAGAAAATACTGTTTTGTCCAAGAAACTGTAATTCATATGTTATATGGTTGCTCCATTTTTTTCCAAAAAATAAAGTATTTGCCTAAATATATGTTGAGACCTGTGTGAAATTCAGCAGCAATTTCCATTCAGATGTGATTTAGGGCTGCTTTGGGATGAGGTGCATCCGATCATAATAATGAGGGTGCAGGATGTCAGAAGAGGGAAAGCTGCTGGGAGGAGGCGTTTATTTAAAATACAGATATAGAATCTCTTTTTTCCCAGTGTGCTCTCATTTTCTTCTCCTTCCCAAGCATGAAAAAGAGAGTAAATGGCCTGCACTAAGTGCACAGGCAGGAGAGTCTGGGGCTGCGTTGGCTCTTGATGGACTATCATAACATAAGACAGGAAAACCTGCTGGTGGTACAGAGCTGGAAAGCTGGATCCCAGCTGGGATTGGGACCCAGTGATAGTGATGAGGATGGCAGAATGTGTCTGAAGATCGAGTAGGATTAGGAGAAAACTAATTGGAAATATTGTTTAAAGACTTGAGAGTTTTTAAGTAAAGCACTCAGAAAATAGGAGAAAAACAGGTTACCTGCCTGAATTTTCTCCCCTCCCCAGGTGACTCATGGGACTGTGTGCTGTAAATAAGAAGCAAGATAAAAACCACCCAGTGTTGTGAAAACTGCCCTGGTGAACTGGTTTCTCCCCTGCCTCTGTTGGAGCGGCTGTATGCATTATGCAGCAACTAACAACTAACTGCCAGTTGTTTGCTGGTGGCCTCCCTTGGGCTGTGTGGTTTGTGGAAACGCTGTGTATTCCCAGTGACTGAAAGAGCTGTGCTTTAATATGCTTTTATCCCCAAGGCTTTCAAGATGAGGGACTGCCTTTAACCCTAGTTTGAAAGGACCTTTGGTAGCTCCTGTGCACGGTGATGATACAGGTGCATTTGGGAGCAAGGGGGCAGCATCCTTAAGGTTCGGCAGGCAGCCAGTGCTGTTCTCTTCAACTGGAGGGAGGGTTCAGCTGGAGTTGAATGGGCTGGTTCAGCTAAACCTGAATGGGTTTTGATGGTACAAATAAATGTCTCCATCCCAAATATTTCCCTCTTCCTCCAAGTGCTACAGCTTGCAGACAGCCTTTGAAATTTAAAGGTCTTGGTGTTTTCTGTGGGTAACTACCATTAAGTAGTATGTACGTTACAAAGACTGTCATGCTTGAGTGTAAAATGATGTCTTTTCACTAAATGAAATACCCACAGGAGACTGGCTGACTAGGAGCACTGGCAGCAGGATATAGAACCTTTAATCTCTGAGTGATAAAGTATTTACAGCTGATGGCTGTATAATGACATAAAATATGTAGTCTCGCTTCCAAATGAGGTCTTAGTGTTTCAGATATCCCCACTTAGATGTTTTCAAGAAGGCCACAGATTTAATATTGGTTTGATGCTCGATGATACTCTCATATATATCTGTGGTCCTTGTAAATCCCAGCTGTAGCTTACTTGCAGAGTGGTGAGAAGCAGCTTTGCTTTGTGCTGCTTTGGTGAACAGACTTCAGTAGCCAGGGCAAATACTTGGTTTTGCTGTGCAAGAAATTTTTGAACCAAAATGCTAATATTTTTGCTGTACAAATAGAATAGGGTGAGACTACATATTCGGTTATGGCAGCCTGTTGGATAAATAATAAACCTTTGCTGATGACTGTAATTCAGTTTAGCAGGGAGTGTGTGCTCTGAGATCTGTTCTGAAAGGCTTATCTTCAGCAATGGCAAGTTTTAAGGTTTTAGATGAACACCAGATGGAGATAGAGCAGATGCCACCACTAATTTCAAAATTGTGTTAAGTGGAAAACAAGAACGTGCTTAGATATTATGTTCATTGCTTATTTGATTTACTCATACATAATAAGGAAGTGTTTGTGACTATAATGGTTTATGTGAGGCATAGCTTTTCTGTTATCAGAGGCTGTCAATGTCCTTTGTCAACTTTTGAAGTAAAAGAAAAAATGGTAATAGTGTAATAGTGTTACTGACTTGAGTGTTCTTTCTGCAGAGTTCTCCTTTTAGATTAAGGTTCTGCTTTCTGCTCCACATAGATTCACATGACATTTAAAAGAAATAACTTAATGGTGGAAAGATAATTTTTCAGCCTTTCTTATAATGCTTCAGATGCATTATATATAGACTTTTTTTTTTTTTTTTTTAAGATTTCTTTAATTTTCAAATGCCACAACTCCCCTCCCCCACTATAAGTAAAGCTGCTTCACTTCTGTAGCTTACATTGTACCAAATTGATGGCACAGAATAGCATGGTTTAAGAAGATAAATGTCAGGAATGTCTCATAAAGTAGACATTCAGGTTTTTTTGGATTAATGGAAAAGAAGGTCAATAATTGCATGGATTTCAATAAGCTTGAGAATAAGTGGCGTTCCTGTGGTGCTAGTGATTATTAAAACATTGTGAATTCATTTCAAAGTACTGTACCGAGGTCTAATATCTCTTCTATTGTGAAGGGATGACTCAGTAAGGGCTGCCAATTTGAAGAGATGATAGTAGGTAACTCCGTAAATCAATTGGATTTTAAGAGGAGAAAAAGTTATAGCAGGCAAAAGATAATTCTCTGAATGGTAGTCTTTATTTTTGTCTCATTTAATAGGTCCCTCCAGACTTCCAGCAGCATGCACCTGGACCTGTTCCTACCAACTTCTCCCAGGCCCCACGGCTGCCAATGCAGGATCAGTGGAGAGGCCCACCTCCCCCACCGCCACCTCTCCCTCCTCCACCTCCTCAGGACAGAGACCCTTTTTTCCTAGGAGGTAAACCTTTTCATTTCAATTAATGTACAAAATATACTTCTTGTGAAGTAAACGTGCAGTTTGAGGAAGAACCTGAAGGCTCTATTTGATGTAGCCTGCCTAGTACATGCCAAAAATTCCAATGACCTGGTCTCTTTTCTCCTCTTTTGATGTTGTTTTCTGTTGACCATTGATTTATGTATTTCTCCAACTATAAAATAAAATTAGTATCAAAGTAATTGCTGCAAATTGTTGCAATTTGTTATATTTTAAACACCATACTCTCTGGAGTATGTGTACACTATAGAAATCTGTTAATATTAGCTGGAATGTTAGAGCATAGCAAACAAAATAGTAGTTTGTGTGTATGTAGACTTATGTTTAACATCTGTATGTTATATCTATATATTATGTACAGACCTATTTAAAATTAACACCTGTGTGTAATATTTATATATAACGTATATGTTATATACATTTTTCCTGTACTCAGAAGGATGTAAAAAGTTGCTGAATATCTGCTCAGCAGAAGTTCTACAAGTTCTTATGTGCTTTTAAGCACTAATCACTGTAATCCATTTCTAAAATACATTCTTAATTCCTCTTGTCTTCAGTTGTACTGGTGCTTTGAGCATCAATTCCTCTTAAAAACAAGTGGCTGAAGCCAGAGAAACATGACCTTGAAATTAGGCCTTAAAATTATGAAGTCTCACGTTTTTGCTTTTTTACCAATTTCAGGTTACTTTTCAAAACGAAATGTTTGCAGTTCAAAAGCACTCTTGTTTCCCAAGGGTGGTTTGTCATTTAATTTCTTTCCTGATTCCCACAGATCCAAGATTTCCCAGCCATCACTTGTTTGAGCAGCGGAGTCCCCCACCGCCACCGCCTCCCCCGCTTCTTAACAGTCCGCACCCCGTCCCTACCCAGAGCCCGATGCCGTTCAGCCAGCCTGGGCCAGCATTCAGCCAGCAAGGACAGCAGCCTGTATTTCCCAGAGAGAGACCACTAAGGCCAAACATACAGCCTCAAGGTCCAGTGGGAATTCTCCACTTCAACCAGCCAGGTTCAGCAAATCCACGGCCCTTCATTCCTCCGAGACAACAGTTCCTACAAGCCCCAGGACAGCCCTTCCTTGCTGCACATGCACAGCCTAACATGCAGGTACAGGTTTGCAGTATGGAGGGGTCCTAAAAGAGGTGTTTCAGGTGGCCTAGTTCTGTGTTGTACTCTTGTTGATGTATAGGAGTAATGCAGCTAAAACTGAGTTATTTGAGGTAACAGATATGAGGCAGATTTACATATTTACATACTTTGTCTGAAAAAGTGATTTACCTTTTTTCTTCAGTTGCCAGCACTCTTGTTTCTGATAGCAGTCTACACACCAGCCCTGTTTCTACAGTAAAGTTACAAAAAACACCACGATTTGCTTAACGCTGCTGGAAGCAGAGAAGTTGTAATGTTGTTTGGTTCAGCATCGTATAGCTCCTGATATTGCTTTAGCTCCGCAGAGGTAGGGAGGGCTGTCCCTGTGCCAGTCCCGGAGCGCCCTCTGCTGCTCAGCCCCGTTGCTCAGCAAAGAGCTAAGCCTCCTGCTGCCCGAGAGGGAGCTGAGCTGCTTGCTTGATATTTTGGGGTTTTGCATAGTGATGCACATGGCTATGTTTATTTGGAGGGTTTTCTTTGTGTTTTGATGTAGGGAAATATTGAGGTCTGGTGATGTTTGTTTGGAGAAGGAACAGTTTGGGGAATTAAAGAAGAAGGAAGGGGAGAGCAGAAAGCTTTTCATTTGCCTTTTTCCACTTAAGCTGTTGACTGTGTAAATATGTAACTTCTTTACATAGCTTCTGTTAATCCATCTTTTCCTCTCAGTATATTTTTGATTTAGCTTGGTCCATAGCTGCTCACAAGTTTGTTGTTTTGTGGACTTGGGAGGCTGGAGCTGCTTTTTTGAGAGGTTATTACTTTGAAACTAAAAGCAAATAATCTTTTTCTTCATATGAAGGGTCCCTTGCATCCTCCATTGCAGCCTCAGCCACAGCCTCAGCCTCAGCAGCACCATCACCAGCAGCAGCATCATCACCAGCAACAGCAGCAACAACACCATCATCATCTCCAAGGGCCACCACAGCCCTTGATGCCCATGAACCAACCACAGTTCAGGCCTCACATACAGGCCTCACCGCAGCAGCCAAATAACAACAGAATGCAGTGTCAGCAGCGGCAGGGTCCAATGAAGCCAAGGCATGTAAGTACCACTTAGTGTTATCTTACATAGTTCTGCATGGGCAATGAAACTTACCATGTAGTTTTTAATTCTCATTTATTCCTTTTCTGCTCTGCCCCTTTCTTTTCCTTTTTGTTTTTTTTTCTCCCTTCTCTACCTTGGTCATTTTATAACCTACTTCCACAAATAGCATGTCTATCTTGTACCTTTTTTTATTTCAGTAGCCAGTGTTTTCTTGATTTGGCTCCATTAAGAAATTATAAAGATTTTCCAAGAACTGTCAGTAAAGGATTTTGGAGGATAAGTTTGCGTTATATTTAAAACTGCACATAGTCTGTGACTGTGTGGGAGCCCAGTTCTCTGACACTTGCTTTGGTTTGAAGACCTTTCAGTAGCACTGCAAATAAGTGTTCTGGTTCACATGGTGCCAATAATGTCCTGTGAGTTTGCAGCATGTTCTGTTGCTAGGTGGGTTGGGGTGACACAGCAATCTGTAGCAGCGCTCAAATTATTGTGACTGTAGTTGAGAAGAATGATTTTAATTAAGAAAATAAATCATAGTGAAGCTGATTTCTGAGAAAGATGTTAAATAAGTTATTGAGTGTTGCTGTTAATTAAAAAAAAAAGTTAACGTGCTTATTTTCATACTTTCTTCTTACATTAAAAACACAGTGCCATTTTGAAAAGTTTTTTGTTTGTTTTTGACAAACAACGAAGTTGTGAAAATCTGAAACAGGAAACACTTCAGTCTGACTTTACATAGAAACCTCACATTTTTTTCCTTTCTGCTTTTCAGAGCACACCCTCACAAAATATTGTCAAGCGTCCAAATCAGCAACTACAGCCAACTGCTCCAAGAAATAGTAACTTGCGGGAGCTGCCCATAGCACCGTCACACGCTCTGGAAGTGAGCAACAACAGGCGAACCTCTACTCCAGCTGCTCAGGTCAAACCCATTACCAGCACGATGTCTGCCTCCAAGACTGTAGCTAGTGGTGGAAACTCGCAGGGAAGGCCTGAGATGAAAGCTAAGGCAGTCACACCAGTGGGCCAAGTGAAACCAGAAGTAAAATCAGAACCAGAGGTAAGATAAGACTCTTAAAACTTCTCTAGTCTGACTTGTGAGCTGTAAGCACACCTGATGTAGTACTCATCCAGCCTTTTTTTGTTGCCACTAGAGGCCTCTCTTCTGAGTTGCACTTTCTTTAATGCAATAGCAGAAACAGTTTCAGTTGACAAAAAAAAACCAAACATCTGAGAGGTTGGCTGGGCACTCTTCATGAGTGAGAGAATGAGTGGCTTTGCATTGATAGTGCTCTTAATACTGAATGTCAGCAAGTGCCAAAGGAACATGACAGCGTGCAGCCTGTATGATTTCTGAGTTTCAGGTTATTTTGGACAAAATTGTGAATCATTCTAGTTCGGTTGCTCATGAAACTTGTCTCGGGGACCAAGTTTCCTTCATCAACTTCATCAACTGTTGAAAGCTTTGATTGGGATAATACTTTCTTCCCTTTAAGCTGCTGCTGATAATTTCACATCTTGTTCTTGAATTAGTTACGACCATTCCTAATTTTCACAAATGTGGCACAAAAGAAACCCATAGCTGGCAGTGTTTGACCTCGTATGCAGGAGCTTCTCAACTGGAATAAAAAATCCTTTGTCCAGTTTTTAATTTTGATAGTTCCTGAAAAATTTGCTGAAGTAATTTCCTTTACCTCAATTCAGTTTCCTGGAACAATCAAAGTCACAGAAAATGCTTTGCCTCTTAGGAAAGTCTCTGTCTTTCAGGCTATTAGTAAAGGAGCATATTGAAGGCCTCTGCAAAGGACATTCTCACCATCTAAAGCATCTTAGAGTCCCTTAGTATTTCTGTCATGGAGCACTTTGGGCATTAGTTTGGAAATATCTCTGACAATATCTGGAAAGCTATCTTTGAAAGCAGTTTGCAATACCTGTTTCGTATAAGTTATACTTTCCCTTCCAAAACAGAAGGAAAGAAGTGTTGCACTTGAGAAAAGGGTGCATCTCCTGTAGTGTTTAGTACTGTTAATCATACAGGTAAAGCCTCTGTAGGTACACTCAGCAAGTACTGAAAAAATGCATAGAGGTTTTCAGAATGGACCAAGAGAGAACGCCTGTGCTGCAAACAATGTAGTAGCAGTTGTCCTTCAACTGTGCCACTGCAGTAGTATTTATTGGTGCCATTTATTCTCATTTTCACAGACTGAGGATTGCTGCACTAGTAACTTTCATTTTCAAGCACATAATCGTGTCTCTTTTTGTTGCATTGTAGTTTATTAAATTTCTCATTTAGCCAGATTGCAGTGTTTTCCAGCATTTTGTCTTCGTCTAATTACCTAACTTTTTGTTGGTTTTTGGCTTTCCACTGGGATGAGAGAGAGTTAAGTTATGTCATCTCTTCTAGCTGTCTTGCTCATAACTGAATTGGGCAGGTTATTTTGCAAGTGTCTTCAACTGGAAAATTAAGACTTTTTTTCCATCTCTGTCCCTGAAGAGCCAGTGGACATGTTTATGAATGCCCTGTAATTCAGGAAGCACAAAAATGGCAATATTGTGTTAAGTGTTTTCCTCATCTACAAAACAAAGGTTTTGCAACCGAAGTGACTAGAAGACTAAAAACTGTTTTAGATTTCTGAATAGCATACTTGTGTTCTTGTTCCTATGCGACTGGAAAATACCAGCTTCAATGCCTTTGTTACTTTCCAAGATGTGAACTTGCATGTCTTCAGTCTGAAAAATCATTTTTACAATGAAATTGAGAGGTATATAATGGCTGTGAGTCTAATTCTGCTCATGCCGAGGTCAGTTTAGGATGAGAGGATTTAAGGTACTTAAGTGCTTTTGTGTTGAAGAGAAGGACAAAGAAAACGCAGGAAGGTGACATAAAGCTTTCTAGTAGAAACTAGATATTGGAGGTCAAAGCAGGAGGAAAAAACTAGTAGAGCACAATCAGAAGTGTGCTGATATCACAGCTGGTATTGCAGATGCTGTGGACAGCCTTTCCATTCTACAGCAAACTTTGAAGTGGGTGTTTATTTGTTGGGTCTTATATTGGTAGTTGTTTTTTTGTTTTGTTTTTTTATAAACTCTGACTATGGAAAACAGTTGCTGTATGGAATTATCAAGCAGATGTGTCTAAATTATCTTTTCTGTATTAACCTCCTGAAAAATTGTACATGTATAAATTTGATCTTTTGTTCTAATTTGAGTAGATTTGGCTTCTAGATTTTCATAATGGTGCTTTCTGTCTTGTTCTTTGAAGATTGTTCTCATCAGTCTTTTTCCAGTTAGAAGATCATAGTATGATACTCAGACTAACTTGTAGCAGCTCATACCTTCTTAGGGTTTAGGAGCTACTGTCATCAGTAGTGTAAAATGGGTGTTGTGTATTTAGCTGCCTTTATTTAAGATACTTTATGATTTTGAATGGCAGCCAACAGATGCTGTAATTTGGATTTGCCTTTACCTTTTGTGAAGACTTGTAGTAAATTACTGGACAAATGATGTTTCTAATGGTACAACTGAAAAAAAAATTCCTACAAAAAACAAACCTGCAGAATACACAGATCTGTGTATATCCTGCCATTTGGTTGTAGCTATTTTGCTAGGGAGACAGGTGAGCTTGGCAGCATGTTTCATTTCTTGTTTTTGACTGCAAACCAGGGCACTTGCAGTATTCAGCTCTTATGGCTCTGCATTTAATTCTAATTACTAGTAATAAAGCCTGCAGACCTCTTAAAAACAATTTAAAAAAGTGGGATATTTGAATTCACTGTATGAGAAACAAGTCACTGATATTAGGACTTAAATTGCAGTAGGGAGTGTAATCACGTGTTTTAGAGTTTGTCTTTTCTGTATTTTGCTCAGTAGTGCCAGTCTGAGCCTTCCTGGAGAGTTCAGGACTGCTGCTTCTCTTACTGCTGTTGCTGAGCTAGACTCACAAAGGCAGCCTGTAACATTTTCTTTTGGCACTTTCCATTAAAACCTCTGAACATTTAAGGCAGAAGAAGAACCTTGTAGCTAAGGTTTGGTCTTCCCTCCGAACCATGAATGTATTGTGTTCAAGAACACAATCTCTATTTTACAAAAACAGGATGCTAAAGGAACTGCTTTGTTTCTCTCACTTTGTGCTCTTCTATTCTTTTCTTACTTTGTACATAAAAGGAGAAGCCAGAGAAAATACACAACTTCTTCATGTGGAGTTTTCTACAGACAAATGGTGAAGCATCTATGGAGTTTATCTGGGAAAAAGCTACTCTGAGTTTTTTTTCACCTACAGATAACCTTGCTCTTGGCAGCAAACTTCCAAATGCAACACAAGCTGTGAACTTCACAACATCTTTGAAAGATTTCTACTTCTTTTGTCAGAATGGTTTGTTTGTTTGGGCGGTGCTGCTGCTTAAGGAGGAATGTGCTGGGGTGAAAATCTTTAGCAGCCTTGACAAACCATTTCCTTCTTGATCCAATGCGCTGCCTTGCTAGTTCAATCTAGTGAAGCTCCTTAAAATGTAGGAGAAGAGATGCTATTAAAGCTGAGGGTGCAGAGTGTTCAACTATCTCCATTTTCATCCTGGTGAGAAGTTTGCTATCATTTCTGAATCTGTGCTGTTGGTTCATTCCAGAGCTGGTTGCAATTAGACCTGACTCCTAAGGCAAATATTTTGTTAATGATCTCAGTATCTTTATGTTGTTTGGTCTTCCCTATCCTAGCTACAAGGATATTTTACTAAGAACCTAACTGTTCTAGCTACTTGCTTACGGAGATGAAGAATTTAGGCCTACTTATAACTATTAATGAGCTGATCTTGCAGTTGTCATATAACCTCAGAGTTCTTGGCCTTTCATTTCAAAACTTGCCCTTTAAGAAGAGGTTGACTTCATAGCATCCTTATAAATTCAATAAGTAGGAGTTGAGTTCGTGAAAGGAAAATTTCAGGTTATAGTTGAGATGAAGTAGCCTGAAGATCTTGCGAAGCATTCATCAAACTTAACATGTGTTGCTAATACAGTTTGCCAGTTGTCCTCTGTATTTAATGTTAGTGTAGCTGAACCCAGTTCATCTGCCCAAGGGGTTCTGTGTGGACATATTGATCAGAGTGTTTGGTCCTTGCCTGCCAGCAAGGCTTATTTAACTGTGCCATGAAGTACACGTCTCTGTGCTGCTTACTTGTAGTCTTTGACTTGGTGTTTTTTACTTTCCAGATCAGAATCTGTATCTTCCAAGGCCTTAGATGGGGCCATAGAGTTCCCTGATAATAAGTGCTGTCCTTTATATATAGAAGGGTCTGGTCTTATGCAAACTTCTGCTAGCACTGACACCTTCACCTGTCTATAAAGAAAAAAAATGCAAGGCTACCTCCAATGGTAAATTTGGTACTGGCTCCTGGGGTTGATCAGACCCATTTAGGTAAAATGCAGAATACTTTGATCTAGAGCAAAGGAAGTGAGTAACAACATATTAAGTGGAACAGGTTTTTCTGTGTGGACAGTTTCAGTAACGTCTTGAGCCTGCCTGAAAGCTTAATTTGTAGCATCTGCATCATAGCACATCATCCTTCTCTCAATTTTCTCATCCCATAAAGGCTATATTTAAGAGTCTTATTTTGCATTGTTTCTCAGGAGTTCTTTATTTTTTACAGCAATCTGGCATCTCCAGCTCTTGACTTTTTGATCATTTCAGTTTTTTGAAGTATGTTCCTATTTGTTGCCATCTATCAGCAAAGTTGTTGTAGTGATGGGTCACTACAACACCAGAGTCACAGTCTGAAAAGTACAGAGAAAGATGAGAACCTTTTGTTCTATGAAGCGTTGTCCTAAAAAATTTCAGGCTTGCTCTTTGAACTATGGCTCACCATTTAAAAAGAAAAATAAAATTTTATGTTTAAGTTTTATGTAAGTCTTTTTTTAGCCATTGTTTGGACTAGACTTTTGGTCTGAGACATGCTGCTCTTTCTCAGTCACTGTGGGAAAAATCCATGTCAGTAGATGCTCAGGAAAGAAGCAGTTCTTTCTGCAGGAGTCAAATGTTTAGGATTTGTGTATCTGGGTTCTGTGAACACAAACTCTGCTCGGCTTTTGTATTTGTGAACTGTCATTGTGGTTGGATTTGTTCTATTGCTTTTCCCTTACATTGAGGGGGGATTCTGGGATGTACCACAATAAAAGCCACGTGGAACAACAAAATCTCTAATTTCTCACTTTAGTTGTGTATGGGCTTTAAAAAAAAAAAAAAAAAAGCATTTATGTTGACATGATATTGCACCCTCACTAGTGCAAGGTGGATAACTTTTCACAGATTCAGCCTTTCAGAAATGTTCTAATACTGTTTATGCAGTAGCTTACCGAAATGAGAAGTATTGTTTCCCTGAGAGCCTGTGTATCAGTAGGATTTACCAGTAGGATTTTGTGCTCATTAACATTCATAAGCAGCCTCTACAAGTCTCTAACCTAATAGTACAAACTGTTGAAAATAAAAAATGTGTGTTTAAAAATCGTGCTTTTTAATTGTAAAAGAAAGCATGTGATAGTATTGTAAGAGCATCTTCATTTCCAGGGTGATGAGGATTTGCATTTCCTTGACTCTTGCCCATTTCTTACAGCATTTCTTAAGAATCCATTTTGCCAAAGTTGAGGCATCTTTAGAAAGCTTACTTGATAGCGTATAAGACTTTCAGAAGGGTGTAGGGGTGGAATATTAAAGGCATTCTCTAAATACCATTAATATTCCAGCACTGCATTTGGCAACATTTTGATTCTGAAGAGAGTGCATGAGTTCAAGGTCAGAGAGATTGACTTGTGCTGTTCATTATAACCAATTATTGTGTGACAAATGAGTTTGAGATCAGGCTGAAAATTCTGTGAGAAAAATCAATAGTTCTAATCAGGGCCTTTCAGGTCATTTACCACCCTACCTTTTGTTACTTTGTCAGAAAAGAGCAAGATAAAACCTGTATGACAGTGGGTTGCCTTCGTATTGTTACTTTCCATTTGAAACATATTTTGATATCTTGAATTATATTAATTTAGTTTAATTGCTTTTAGAAAGTTCTAAATGAATTCCAATTTGTAAGACTTAATTTTTTACTATTCTGATAAGATTTCTTAACTGGTATTATAAGCTCCATGTATTTTATTTTATTTTTCCTCTCTAGGAAGTATTATATCTAAGTCTTAAACCTGATTCAAGCTGTTTGTGTCTAATGAATAACAAATAAACCATACTGGCAGATATGCTCTACTAATAGCCTTAGCTCAATGTCAGGGATCGTTTCAGAAGCTCTTCAGAGACTTAGGCCATTATGACATCTTCTAAAACAATATTCTCATTCTATTTTGACCAAGCAAGGCCTATGCTGAGAATTTTCTAAATTAATTTGCATTTCCCTTTGTAGTATCCAGATGAAGACGAAGAGACTAGATTGTATCGTTTGAAGATAGAAGAGCAGAAACGTCTAAGAGAAGAAATTCTGAAACAAAAGGAGTTGAGACGGCAGCAGCAGGCTGGTGCTAGAAAGAGAGAATTGCTAGAAAGGCTTGCACAGCAGCAACAGCAGCAACAGCAACCTTCTGTGCAGCAATCCTACATGCAACAGGACGATGACTCTTCTGAGTACCCTACCAACGGCAATCCTTACATACCCCACTCTGGCTTACAGACCAGGCAAAATGTGAAAAACAGACTTCTTGTTAAAAAGCAAGATATGGTAGTTCCCAATATTCAGCCCAAACACACAGACTACTCGCAGGTTGGGGCTAATACGCAGTATCAAGGACAGCAGATGAAACCAGTGAAACAGCTGAGGCAGACCAGAACAGTATCTTCCAGTCAGCCTCAGGCATCGCAGAAAGTGTTACAGACAAAACCTGCTGCAGCACCGCTGCCCACCTCACAGACTGCTAGAGTGGCTTCCGTACAAGCAAGGCCACAGGAGATGAAACCTGGCGTGAAAAGAACTGTCATGCAGCGGACAAACAGTGGTAGTGGAGATGTGCCCCATGGCGGCAGCAAAGTCAGGGTGATTAAGTTGTCAGGAGGGGTAAGTTTCCAAGGCTCATCTTGTGTGTGTGTGCTGTCATGGTTTGTTTCTGTGTGTTTCATTCTGTGTAAGTTCAAAATAAAAAATAGGCCTAAGACGAAGGGGGAAGTAGCAGATTTATCAGACTTAATAATCCATAATTTAGATTTTCACAGTTGTAAGTTACTAGCAGTTACTCAGGAGTGTATGTTTGCCATAATGCTTTACTGTCAGACAGTTATCACTGATACCATCTTTTTGAAAATAATACTCCATTCTTTTAACTTCTTTGTAACTTGAGTCTGCAAGACTCCTCAGCTTAGCTCATGTAGCTTAAGGTTGGTAGGTCTGGTAGGCTCAGAGAAAAGGACTTATATGGCTGTTTGTAAGGTTCAGTTAAACAGCTAGGCTTTGTTCATTCATTAGTTGAAGCCACATAATGTAGTTGGGTGCAAACACTGGAAATAGCGTGACTTCTGTACTCAAGGGGAGATTGTTTTTGTTTTCTAGGGAAGCATGTTGTGAAGCGAATTCAAGCAATATATTGGAGGGGGATGTTTCCTGCTAGAGGCTGGGTTCAAAACATTACTGTTTCACTTCTGCATCTAAATTAGATTTCCTTATCTTTTGATGAGGGGTCTGTTGTCTGTAGAATGTCCCTTGAGCACCAGTGTTGTGGATGACTCTCAACGCCAGCCTTGAAGGCAGCATGCATACTGAAGGTCTGGGGGTTGGTTAGAAAGTTTATAGACCAGATTTTCTTCTATCTTAATGAAGAGATGAGTTTGTTAGGGCTCTGAAGAAACTGAGATGAAGGGACATGTTTGCCAGTATGCAATCTCTGTCTAGTTTTCATGTTGAGGAGGACATGATATTTTTAATGCTGTGATACAGTGGAGGAGATTGGGCAGTTTTTTTTGTATTTTTGGGGTGTTCTTGTGTTGTTCTTTTTTATGGTGTTTTTTTTTTTTTTTTAATTAAGAAGAATGCTTCTTAAATTATGAAGAATGTTAATTAGAGGAACTTACAGAACTGCTGTAATGAAGTGAATGTCCTGTGTTAACAGGGGCTTCATGAAGCCTTGGAGGCTAGGCTTTAGTGCATAGTAACATGGAGAAAATCAAACACTAAAACCTTAGCTACTTGTATATAGCTCATAAGTCAAAATACGCTTAATACTTTCCATTGCATAATAATATGTTTTTTCAAAATATTAACGCAAAGGACGTTGTTGACTAACTAGAGCTGACAACAACCTGACTTAAAGGGTGTCTGATTCCTCAGACATGGTAACTTAAACACAGAAGAAAGTACCAGAGGTTGAAAGAAATTGTTTCTATTGGGCTAAAAAATAATTATATAGAGATATGTCTGCAGGAATCCCAGTGGTTTACAAGAGGTATGACAGGTTTGTTATTCATTAATAATTGAATAAAGCAATCATGCACAACATCTTTTATTATGTGATGGAGCAAAACAATGCCAGTCACCACTGCATGCAGCTCTTCATAACAAAAGGTTGTCAGTGCCCAAACTTTCATTTGTAATGAAATAATTTTTATCGTAATGCTCTGTTTTAGGAAACTTAGTGATTTGTTTCATATAAATCTCTTGGTAAGCAAAAGCAATTAGCTTCATTACATTCATATGTAGCTTCTCTTTCGTTATACACTCAGGCAGATTTGTTCTGTCCTTAACTTTCAGATACTGAGGTTTTTCCAAGGTAAAGCAGTGTCTTTATGTATTCCTTTCTCTGTTTTTATTTTTTTTCATATAGTCATAGAAAATTTCATTTTTCCTTCCCACTGTGGAAGAATGAGAGCAGGCATTGCAATTAGCTGCTTAGCGTTGATCAAGACGGTTGATTAATTTTTAATCATTTAGTGACAAGCTGAATCTATATGACTTTGTTTCTTTGACCACACAAGGAAAAAGAAAAAAAAAAAAGCAATGTGGGGGAGCAATCTTGTCTCTTTTGACAGGATTTTAAAGAATTAAATGCTGTGTGGACTCTTAGTATCATAAAGATCGCATCACATTTAGTTTCCCTTTTAGACCCGCCACCTTTTAAATTTATTTTCACACCTTTTGTATGAACCCTAGATGTACAGCAGAAGCCAAATCTCTCTTGTGCTTCATATGGTTCCCTACCTTTGGCCAAGGGGGTGTTTGGTGCCTCTGATGTACAGGCATTGACTTGACCCTGCAATTAAGCAGCCCTGCTGTTGCTCTCAACTGTAATCACTTGTACCCCTTTTGCTTTCTAGAGCTCTTTTGTGCAGTGGTGTTTTTAAGACCCATGTACGAGTGAGATATTTGTGATTAGACACAATGCAGGTTCCTTTCTGAAGCTCTTGATTCATGTCAGTAAAGACTTGGAAGGTGCCTTTTCTATCTGCCTGCCAGCTGTAGTGCAGCATAGTAGTAGAGCTGTCAGCTGAAGAGCTTGCTGTTTTGAGGCCAGCCCTATTACAAACTTATCTAGTCCAAATTAACCTAGAACAGGAGCAGGTGGCGAGGGCTATTCCCCTGCATTCAGCAGGACCACATGTAGAACAGGGCCTAATGGTTGGGTGCTGCTGGTGACTTTTTTTATTTAACAGTTAAAGAGATGTATTTAATGTATTGGTGAGATTTATGATGTACAAACGTCAGAAGAGAAAGGTTCATTTCTTTCATGATCTAAGCTTCTGACTGTATTTATCTGTATTGCTGGGCATTGCAGTACTATTGAGCATCTCTGACCTTTCAGATAAAGGTAATCCTTGTTATTTAAGAAGGTAAAATAGCCTTTCATCTGTTTCTACAATGTTCTCTCTTGAGAGGATATTACTTCTTAAGTATTTTAACAGAATGGTAAGAATTACTAATTAAATTCCAAGAAATAATTTGTTCAGCTTATCTGATGTAGAAGCAGCCTTCATTTATGTCTTACTATACTAGAGAAAAGAGAAGTAGAAAATATTCAGTATTTTCTGTATGCCAGAGCACGTTTGCATATCAAGATGACTCATGTTAGATGTTGTGCTTTTTTTTTTTTATTAACAAATTGTCCTTTCCCCCAGAAAAAAATACTGGTATGTCCGTCTCTTTCCAGTACACCCCTAAGTTATGCAGGAATTTATGCAGTACAATGAATAGTTTTCCATTTAGATGTTATGCACTTGGAAAAATGAAGCAGTGGCAGATCTTTAGAAGATTAATACTTTGGGTTGGGTATTTTTTTTATTTTTTTTTTAATTTATTTGAGGCCCAAGAAGACTTTTCAGAGTCTTCAGAGTCTTCCTTTCTTGAAATAGGAGTTCAGCATATTTGCTGAATATTTGTGATCCTCTATGAACCTAATGGATTGCGTGAGGTTTGAGAAGGCCAAGTGCAAGGTGTTGCACTTGGGACAGTCTGAGGTATGTATACGGACCGGGAGAGGAAGTCATTGAGGGCAGCCCTATGGAGAAGGTCGTAGGACCTTCTGGTGGGTGAGGAGTTGGACGTGAGCCAGCAGTGTGCGCTTGCAGCCTGGAATGCCAACTGTATCCAGGGCTGCATCAGCAAGAGGGTGGCAACGGGGAGAGGGAGGGGATTGTCCCTCTCTACTGCGCCCTCCTGAGGCCCCCTCTGGAGTATTGCGTCCTGCTGGAGTACTGCGTCCTGCTTTCCTGCCAGAACGGTGTGGAGTGGGGCTAGAGGAGGGCCATGAATATAATCTCCTCCAAAGACCCACTGCACTCTGCAACTTCCTGAGGGGAGGTTGTGGTGAAGAGGGATTTGGCCTCTTCTCCCAGGCAACGAGCAGGACGCGGGGAAACGGCCGCAAGTTGGTTTAGGTTGGACATAAGGAAGAACTTTGTCTCTCAGAGAGTGGTCAGGCACTGGAATGGCTGCCCAGGGAGGTGGTGGAGTCGCCGTCCCTGGCAGTGTTCAAGAGGCATCTGGACGACGTGCTGCGTGATGTGGTTTAGTGCTAGTGGTGGCAGTGGTGATGAGGAGACGGTTGGACTGGATGATCTTGTAGGCCATTTCAAACCTTGTGATTCTATGATTCTATGAAAGACAGGTTGAGAGAGTTAGGCTTGTTTAACTGGAGGAGAGAAGGTTCTGGGAAGACCTCATTGCAGCTTTCCAGTGCTTACAGGGAGCTTATACACAGGAGGGAAATCAACTTTTTACATGGTAGAGATAGGACAAAGGAGAACTTTTTTTTTTTTAACTGGAAGAGGGGAAATTTAGAGCTTGGGGAACTTCTTTACTTGAGGAACTGGTTGAGGCACTGGTACAGGCTGCCCACAGAGGCTGAGGATGCCCCATCTCTGGAGGTGCTCAAGGCCAGGTTGGATGGGGCCCTGGGCAGCCCAAGCTGGTGTCTGATTTAGTGGTTGGTAACCCTGCCCGTGGTAGGGGGCTTGGGGCTAGATTATTTTTGAGATTCCTTCCAACTCAAGTCATTCTGTGATTCATACTAGGATATTTTACTAAGAATTATTTGTATTGGCATATTTTACTTACAAAAAGTCTGAGATTTGCTTGGCTTGGAAAGGGGCCTGAATTCAGTCCTAAAGATCAGCTTTAGAATAAACAGTGAGTTTGTAGGCTGTTGTTTATCGGGAAGCGATGCCCAAATAAACCAGTTACAGAAAAACAGCAGCGAAAGGACCAGATAAATAGTTTGTTCTGCTTTGAGGGGGGATGAGCTGTAGAGCGTTCCTGACAGATTTGTCCAGCCTTTATTCTGAGATCTCAGTTACAAAGATTTCTTTTGCCATCTACTTCAGTGTTTAATGTGTACTTTTAGATTATTGTAGATCAAGCCAGATTTTTTTTTTTTGCTACGGTTTTGTTATAGATGTTTCTGTCAAGAAGCAGAAAAATTATTTCCTTTTTTTGTGACCAGTTCTTTTTGAAGATCTTTTTGAAATGTTTTTGAGCAGTCATGTCCTTTGGATAGGTCACATTTTTCTAACCCTTATGCTTTCTATAGTGATTTCCTTTGGGCTCTGCAAACAGTTTGTCAGTACATAGTTCTA